CTTTTATAAGGTAAGGCCCTACCATGGCCAATTGGTAGGGCCATGGTAGGGCCTTACCTTATAAAAGGTAAGTTAGGGGAAGGTTGACCCAAGATTTTTGGGATGTAGTTTATCCAGATCCTTACGCATTTTCTAATGGGTGCATTCATAAAAAACAAAAGCAAAGACTGAGTTTTTTCTAAGACATAGCATAACAAATGACAAAATATATATTGCCTAACATCCAAAAACAAAAAATACCCTTTTCAGATAACCTGGGCACCACCAGGTCCCCAAGCTAGTCTATATCTATATCTATTTCTATTTCTATCTTCTATGTATATAATAAAACTCAGTGTTTGTATGTGGAAGGAGGACAGGAGGGAGGGAGGTGTATGTGGCAGCATTCTGATTGGCTGCCACTGTGATATAATTTGCATATGGTCTCTGATTGGCCAGCCTCAAAACCCCAACATTCTGAGATAGCAGATAACATTCTCAGATACCCCAACATTCTGAGATAGCCTGAGGCTGTCAGGAATGGTTGGAATTGAAGTCCAAAACACCTTGTGGCCCTCAACAATGACAGAACAAGACCAAACCTGGCACACAGCCCCCACCCCTCCCCCCAAGTCCCACTCTACATCCTGGTGCAGTTTGAGGGAGGATGGAACATGGATGATGGGATTTGCAGTACTGTAACTCACTTCCTTAGAGCACTGTGGCCCACACCAATGACAGATCATGACCAAACTTGGCACACAGATGCCTAATGGCCCACTTAAAAACCTGGTGCGGTTTAGGGCAGGATGGGCCATGAATGATGGGATTTGCAGTACCTTCACCCGATTCACTTTCCACAGAACATTGTAGTCACTTACAAATCACAGACCAGGTACAAACTTGGCACACAGAATACTCATGACCCATTCTACATCCTGCTGCAGTTTGGAGGTAGGTGGGCCATGCATGATGGGACTTGCAGTACCTTCACTCACTTACTGAAACCACTGCGACCCCCAACCAATGACTGATAAAGACCAAACTTGGCACACAGAGCCCCCATGACCCACTCTACATCCTGCTGCAGTTTGGAGGAGGGTGGACCATGGATGATGGGACTTGCAGTACCTTCACTCCCTGAAAACAATGCAACCGTCATCCAATGACCAATAAAGACCAAACTTGGCATACAGAACTGCCATTACCCACTTTCTCTAATAACCCAGGCAGTGCTGGGTCCCCAACCTAGTATATAATAAAAGAGAGTGTTTGTATGTATGTATGTGTGCGGCGGGAGGTGTATGTGGCAGCTTTCTGATTGGCTGCCACTGTGGTACAATTTGCATAAGGTCTCTGTTTGGCCAACCTCAACATTCTAACACTCTCAAGTGGCTGAGAGAGGAAAGGAAATTTGCATATGGTTTCTGATTGGCCAGCCTCAAAATTCTAACAGGAGCCCCTGGTGGCGCAGAAGGTTAAACCCCTGTGCCGGCAGGACTGAAGACCCACAGGTCGCAGATTCGAATCCGGGGAGAGCGTGGATGAGCTCCCCCTGTCAGCTCCAGCTCCTCATGCGGGGACATGAGAAGCCTCCCACAAGGATGCTAAAAGATCAAAACATCCTGGCGTCCCCTGGGCAACGTCCTTGCATTCTAACATTCTCAAGTGGATGAGAAGAGAAAGGAAAGGGCCTGAGGGATTTGCAGTACTTTCACTCACTCTACATCATACTGCAGTTTGGAGGAGAATGGACCATGGATGATGGGACTTGCAGTACCATCACTCCCTTTCTGAGTGATAGTACTGCACCATCATCCAATGACCTATCAAGACCAAACTGTGACCTTCATCCAATGACTTATCAAGACCAAACTTGGCACATAGACCTCTCATGATCCACTTTACACCCTGGTGTGGTTTGGCCGGGGATGGACCATGGATTATGGGACTTCCAGTACCTTTCCTTAATTCCTGAGACCACTGTGACCCTCATCCAATTAGCGATAAAGACCAAACTTGGCATACTGAATCTCCATGACGCACTCTACATCCTGGTGCAGTTTGGAGGAGGATGTACCATGGACAATGGGACTTGCAATACCTGCACTCCCTTCCTGAGACCATTACAACTGCCAGCAATGATGGATCAGAACCACAATTCACTCAGAGAGCCTGAATGACCCATTCTACATCCTACCATCTCCCCAGGGGACTCAGTGCGACTTACATGAGGCTGAGCCCAAAATACAACAATACAAGCAATAACAATAACAATACAAGCAATTTAAAAACAACAAAACAGTAAAACAATACATAAGCATTATCAATAGGACAACACACTTTAAAAACTATGGGTAGGCCAAATGTAAAATTAAAATTGAAAGTAATGCTGGAGCATGGGCGAAAAGGTGATAGTGGCATTTGTGGAAAACATACAAGCAGACCTAAAAATATAAAGTGCTTTGGAGGACAAAGTGCTATGGGATCATTATTCTGGGAAGGCACACTGGAACAACCTCATCTTCAAGCTCCTCCTAAAGACTGCCAGAGTTGGAGCCTGCCTGATGTCCTTAGGAAGTCAGTTCCAAAGTCGAGGGGCCACCACCGAAAAGTCACTTCCCAAGACTGCTGCAAACCTCATCTAATGACCGATCAAGACCAAACTTGGCACACAGAGCCCCCATAAGCCACTCTACATCCCAGTGCTATTTGGAGGAGGATGGACAATGGATGATGGGACTTGCAGGACCTTCACTCCCTGAAACCACAGCGACAAACATCCAAATACCAATAAAGACCAAACTTGGCACACAGAGCCCCCATGGCCAACTCAACATTCTAGTGAGGTTTGGGGAAGAACAGACTATGGGTGATGGGACTTGTAGTACCTTAACTCACTTTCTGTGACCACTGTGACCCTCATCCAATGACTGATCAAGACCAAACTTGGCACACAAAGCCCCCATGATCCACTCTACATCCTGGTGCTGTTTGGAGGAGGATGGACCATGCACGATGGGATTCACAGTACCTTCACTAACTGATAACTGATAAAGAACACCTTTGCCACACAATGCCTTTCTCAAATAACCCGGGCAGTGCTGGGTCCCCAAGGTAGTGAATGTTTGTATGTATGTATGTATGTGGAGGGCGGAAGGGCGGAAGTGTATGTGGCAGCTTTCTGATTGGCTGCCAGTGTGGTGCCACTGTGGTACATAAGGTCTCTGATTGGCCAGCCTCAACATTCTAACATTCTGATTGGTTGCCACTGTGCTATAATTTGCATATGGTTTCTGAGGGAGCAAGAAGCCATCTGAAGGGACTCGGGGCGGTTCACAAAGGGATATGCCCAATAAGTACAGGTTAAAACAAGCATAAAAATATAATCAACAACAAAAAAAATCAATAAAACATCATAAACAGATAACATAATTAAAAACATGGCTGAACAACAAATGATGAGTTTGGGCTCATGATTCTTAAGTACAATGATAGCCATGTATAAATATGTGAGAGGAAGTCATAGGGAGGCGGGAGCAAGCTTGTTCTCTGCTTTCCTGACTAGGACGTGGAACAATGGCTTCAAACTACAAGAAAGGAGATTCCATCTGAACATTAGGAAAAACTTCCTGACTGTGTATGCTGTTCAGCAGTGGAACTCTCTGCCCTGGAGTGTGGTAGAGGCTCCTTCTTTGGAAGCTTTTAAACAGAGACTGGATGGCCATCTGTCGTGGGTGCTTTGAATGCAATTTTCCTGCTTCTTGGCAGGGGGTTGGACTGGATGACCCATGAGGTCTCTTCCAACTCTATGATTCTATGATTCCTACATAGAGCTTTTACAAAGAATCTTCACATCTTGGATTTTGTGACATTTTAAGCTATAAAATTGTTATACTAATAAGCAAACCTTTAAATAAAGTATATGCTTTTTTTCTGCTTATCATCCCACACCCTCCATCTATCTATATGAGTGTGACAGGTTACATCCTACACACATACTACATGAAATAAGGTGGAGGACTACATGTACAGAACTGGTTTAAAAAATTGTTGTAGTATCTATCCAGACAACATAGAGTGACACAATAAAAGTTGAGTTCCCAGTTTTGGGGGTCAGGGTGATGACCTTGGTCTTTGGTATGTTTGCAGTAGTTAAATAACCACACACACTCAGTAGCTAATTAAATTCTCAATATTGTATTGCAAAAGCTGCATTGTAAAAATATGCTCAAGGGCCTGCATCTAATTTATTTATTTATTTACTTTACTTTACTTGTATACCGCAGTTTCTCAGCCTAACCGGCGACTCAACGCGGTTTACAACAAGGATAAAATCAATCACGATATACAATTTAAAACCACAAGAGCACAATATACAATATTACACAACAATAACAACGCAATTTATACAGTTAGTGTGTGCTAGTTTGTGTAAAAGATGGACATTGTTTACACGTTCAAACTGGGTTCATAATAGATTCAGTAACACATTAAACCAGATGTTACAAATGTTGTGGACAAATGCATCATCTGGTTTTGATAAGTTTTGTGTAGAATGATTTGAAACCCTAAATTTGTATAACACAATAGTGGTCCATAGGACACAGCCTCAATGTGAGTAGTGAACAGATGGTTAGATATGACCCGGAAAGACTTAATGCGCAATTGTACTAAGCTGCGAAGTGCTCAGTATTACAGCAGGCAAATTACAGCCCCAATCTTATCCTTCACTAGCAGAGGCAAAGATTGTCCTTAAAATAATGGTGGCATACAACGTGGTGATTTCATAGATAAAGTAACAATATTTAATGCACATGATTTCCTAGCATCCTTAAAAGGAATGGATATAAAAAACCAACTATGTCTATTTTGGTAAAGGTTTAATTTCTTCCATTTCCATTTAATACAGTAAATTATATTGCTCCTTCCTCTGTTTCTATGTCATACATATATTTTTAAGAAAACCAAACAAACTGATCTGCAATGTACTTGAATGTGTAAAACATTGTACTCCATAGGTTCCAAGGCTTTGGAGTATTCCAATGGCATCTTTGACTGCCAGTCCCCGACATCTCCATTCATTGGGAGCCTGCGTGCCTTGCATCTGGTGGAGGATTTGCGTGGTGTGTTGGAGGTGATGGAAGTGGATGAAAAAGAAGGACTGCGGTGTCAAGTTCCAGATTCGACAGCAGAGATTTTGATCGAATGGCTACAGAGCCAAATGGTATAGCAATAATGTTTAATTCTTTCTCATAAGAGGAAATACTGTTGATCTGCTCCTTTGTCTGACCTCTGAATATATCGTATATTATATATTTATGTATAATTACTACACTTTGGTGCCTCAAATGTTCTGGGTATATTTGACCTGCTGATTCAAAAAATGGCACCAGTTTCCCTCTATCATCTCTTGTTTCTGAGATACAGAACAACTAGCATCTACTAGTTGCCATCTGCTCACACATAGAAAACCATGATAACAATATATAAGGAACTAGAGCTGATGTGGTCCATCCAGTTCAGTCTTCTGAACCAGTGCCCCAAATAACCTCTGTCGTGAAAACAGAGACATAAAGAATTGGGGTGGGGGTGGGGGGCGTAAATCAAACCAGACATTGCCATCGTGCAATTTCAGTTTCTCTTCTGCTACTTGGTCAGGATGACATGTTTTCTTTTCAGCATCATATTCATAGTCCTAAAAGATAGATCTTTTTCTTTTTATGCTGTGTTTAATTTTATTATTCTTCTAGCATATACATTCTCTCCTCTCCTCCCTTCTCCTCCCCACATTTTCTTGTTTCTGTTCTTGAAGATGTGAAAACACACAGTTTTCACATCTTCAAACCCAGTTTATTCCAGTTTTTAGTCCACTTGACTGTGGATTCACTTTGAATTATTATTGCTATTTTTACATCACATCCTATTTTAGTCCATGTGATGCACGTTCTTTTCAGAATGAATTTGTTGATAAGGAAGATGCCATTTCAAGGTGAAGAAATCTCCTGGCAAAGGCCATTTTTCTTATTTGTTCTTTTCTGCTGCATAAGCACACTCTTTCCACTTGGCAAGCATTGAATATTTCACTCTTTTTCATTCATTCTGATGTTGGAGGAGTGTTTTTGTTGAAGTATGAAGAATTTTGTGGGTCAGTCGTTCTCTCCTGTTGAGCTTGGCCCTATCCCACAGCACTTTTTGTGCATATCTGTTACTGTATATACTCATATATAAGTCTGGAAACTTAAGACATAAAACTGACCCCAGACACCTGGGTCAGTTTATCCATGGATCTACCTACTGTGCCTTAATATTTATTTTTAAAACCCTCTGAATAGAGTGACCAAATGCAAATAGTCCATCATGGGAAAACCTAAAAGAAGCACCGATCCTACAGTCTGTCACAACAAAATTTCTGTTCTTTTAAAAAAATGGTGGTGGCAATAATTGGGGATTGTCGAGGCTTTCCTTTATCTACAGAAAGATCCTCTACTCCACAGGTCATATCAAAATCCATAATTTCAACCCAAAAATCTGCCCTCTATTTAGACTTGAAGTTGGCGTATACACAAGTATATACTCTAGTTTTTATTTATTTATTTGCAGTATTATATACCGCCTTTCTCACCCCTGGGGGGACTCAAGTTGCATCTAAAGGGAACAAATTATTGCTTTTTTGGTCAACCTAGATGAGATGTTTGGGAAATGGAGTTGCTCAGGTAAGTATACAAGTGAGATTGAAAACAAAATGCTGACGCAACAAGTCTGTAGCACTGCTGATAAATAGCACGGAAAAGTGTACGCATATTCATCTTCTTGATCACGAATTCTGCTCTTCATTCCACTATTTCTCCTTTTTTGATCTTTATGCCCAGAACTTGACCCTATTCCTCATTGTTAGTGGTCTTTCTCTGCTTCCTTCAGTGAAATATACTTGTCCACGTTGTGTTTACCATACCCCTTAAGTCCATATATCCAACTGAAGCAAAGCAGAACGTACAACAGAACATAGATCGAGTGTATAGAGTCACAACTAACTACTCAAGAAGAAATAATGCAATAAGGGATGTGATCGTATATTTCATTAAAAAAACAAGAGATGAAATTCTAAAAATGAACAGTATGACTCCAACTTACCACAAGGGAAGGAATTTTGAAGTAATTCCCAAGCTCTGTATTAACATGAAGGAGAACATATGTGTTCATTACGGATGAATTTAAAAGATACCACATTAGATTTAGATGGGAACAATCTGAGGGACTAATGGTAATGTACAAAGGCAAAAAAAATGGATTACTTCTGAAGACAAAGGGAAGGAATTCTACAGAAAACTCAAAAAAGACAAACAAAAAGATTCACCAGAAAAAGAGGAAATGGAGATTGGTATGGAAAAAATGAACCTGTGAGAAAGAATTGACCAGTCCAGCCTTGGAAAAGAGGGAGAAGGAGAGGGAGGAGGCAGAGGTCAAGGAGGAAGAAGATTAGAGATGACATCAAGAGAAATAAGATGTTATTCCAATAACGTGAATGGTTTAAATTAGGCTAATAAATGAAATAAAATTGTAATAGACTAAAACAAAAGAACTATGAAGTGGCCTTACAGGAAACACATATTTCACATAAACATGTCTCATATCTGGAACACAACCAAGTAAGAAAAGAATTTTATTCTTCAGCCTTAGAAAAGAAGAAGAGGGTAATAATATATGTACACAAAAAATTGATGCCAAATTAGCATTTAAAGACCAAGAAGGGACAAAGATTGAGGTAATTATAACAGTACAGAATATTAAGATGTTGATTTGTAATATATATATATATATGGACCAAAAACAAAATTTGTAAAAAAGATGAGAGAGTATATATTAGATCAAGAATACAATAATTTGATAATTTTAGATTTTAATGGGATAATGAATAATAATGTGGATAAAAGCCAATTAGAGAATATGTTTACCCCAAATATTTAAAAATATACAAGAACCCATCTTTCAGGATGCTTGGCTCATACATCATGAAGGAGAGAGAGATTACACCTTTTACTCAAATAGACATAAGAGCTGGTCCACAATAGATATGATATGGACTTCAAAATCAATAACATCTAGATTAAAGAAAATAAAAATATTACCAAGAATGGATTTGGACCACTACGCAATAGAACTAATCTTAAATAAATTCAGGAGTATAAGAAGGTGGAGACTAAATGAAAACTTTAACCAGAAGAAAATATAAAGTTAAATAAGGCAATACGAGGGGAATTCTTTAAATTTAATAATATCCTAGGAGCCACCCTTTCAAGTTATCTGTAACGCGAGCAAAGCGGTCATGCGGGGACATTTTTTCCAGCAAAGTGTAATAAAAGTAGAGAATTTAAGTCTAATTAATAAAAGAGAGAATTTAAGTCTAATTAAGTCCAATTAGAGGTCGAAAATCCAGAAATCCAGAAATCCAGAAAATAACAAAGAAGCGAGCAAGGGGAGGGTGAGAGGACAGAACAAGACAGGAAAAGATTGGAGAAGATAGGAAGACAGGAAGAGAAAAGAAAGAGAAAGACATAATTATAATCACACAATTGCGCTGCCGAACTATTCTACTGAATTATTGAACTACTGAATAATTATATAGCCAAAGCAATTAAAACAGTCCAGAAGCAGAAGACATTAAAAAGAGAGAAGAAGACAGAACAGGGATAAAGCTGCAAAAATAAATAAATAAATAAATAGACCGGGGAGAAAGAATAAGGAAACTGACCTTGAGCTGAAGGATTGTTTTGACTAGGGAGCTGGAGGCCTGACCTGGCGGCCAGAGCAGAGAGGGGCGGGAGAGATTGAGCCACGCGGAGGAAACACACTCAAATAACGCGAGAGAAAAGGAGAATAAAGACAGAAGGAAATCTCGTGAGAACTGAGAAAAGCCCCGCGAGAAGGGGACAGAGAGACCGCGAGAAGAGAGGAGAAGGGAGAAGAGCAGAAGGGCGGAAGTGAAGCCAAAGAGGCAGAGCGAAGGTTGCCAGAGAAGGCCAAGGGAAACAGAAGGACGGAAGCACAAGGGAAAGGCAGAAAGGAAGGAGGGGCCCCTGAGGGAGAGCGGATAGAAGGAGAGGAGGGAAAAGACAGAAGCTGAAGAGGCAAAGCGGCAAAGCGGAAATAGCGACGGAAAAGGTAAAGAAATTAATATATTTGAGAATACCTAAGAACAAGAACAAAACAGCAACAGAATAATAACAATAATAACAAAAATATTAAGAATAATTAAAGAATAAGAATAATAATAATAATAATAATAATAAAATTAATTAATAAATTAAAATAAATTAAATAAATTAAAAAAAACAATAGAGGGAAATTAGGAAAAGAATACAGATAAAAGAAGGGGGAAAAAATAGGTGAAGGAGCCAAAGAATAGCAGACTCAAGCCAATAAGAATATAAAGCAAAATAATTAACAAAGACTTACAGACACAGACAAAGACAACCAAAGAACTCAAAGCGAGACTGAAACAAGGCTTCAGAAGATATAAAAGGAAGGAGCAAAAGAAGGAGAAGGAAGAAGTACCCGGAACCAAAGAACAGGCAAAGGAGACGCATAATCATATAAATAAGATCAGAGGAAGGAGAAGAAAGGAAAATGTCCACGGTAAAGAAAGGAGAGAAAGAAAACAAAGCAACATCAAGAAGGATCTCAATAACGGAAGAGACACTACCAAAAGAACCGGCCCCAACCTTGAAGGAGATGATGAGCAATGTATTGGCAGAGATTCAAAAAATTCAAGAAAAACAGGACGCTTACCAAGAAAAACAGGATGCTTACCAAAAAATACAACAAGAGCAAATGCTGGACTTAAAGAAGGACCTAAAAGAAGAAATAGGGAAGATGAGAACAGAAATGATTGCGATGCAACAAGAAATCAAAGAGTTACAGAAAGAGAAGAAGGAAATTAAAGAGATACAAGACAAAGTCCAATCATACATAAAGAAACTAGAACTAAAGAACTCAAGACTGGAAGCTAAACAAGAGGAAACAGAGGCCAGAGACATGGAATTTCAACTAAGGCTAAGAAACATCCAAGAAGAAGCGAAAGAAGACATAAGTGCAAAAGTGATAGAGATCCTAACGGAATTAATGGAATGCCCTAAGCAGGAGATGAAAGAACGGACAGACAGGGTATATAGGATTAACACGAATTACGCAAGGAGAAACAAAACTGCACGGGACGTAATCGTGCAC